AGGGGAAACTAAACTACTGCAACAAAAACTCAGTGATTTAAAAAACGAAGAGATTTTTCTCTCACATAACAGAGGGAAGCATTCCAGGTTGACAGATAGGGTCCCTCTGCTCCACACATCATTCAGGGACCCAGGTGCCTTCCATTTTATGGGTCTCTAGTGCCCTAGGGCTTTGTTGTCATCTATATGGTTGAAACTCTGTCACAGCCATGTCCCAGTTCCAGCTGAGGAAGGAGGAAGATGGCATAGAGGACGAATATCCAGTGTCTTAAGGCCCCTGGCCTTTTTGCTCACATTCTGTTGGCATCCCTAATTGCAAATTCAGCTGGGAACTGTGTGAGCTGGGCAGTCACGCACTGGGTTATAACTTCATTACTTAGAAAGAAAGGGCAAATGGATTTTGATGAACAGCTAGCAGCCTCTGCCACAGCAGACGAAAGAGAAAGGAGGCATTTTAGACAGAGGGGACAGTTTGATCAAAGGTAAGGAAGTGAGAAACAACATGTGTGTAAAGAACTAGTAGCAATTTTGATGTTATTGGAATGTAAATAATGAGATCAGGATAGCAAGAGACGAAGCCAGAGAGGTGGGCAAGGGCAGATGAAGTTGGCTTTTATTCTTGAGGAGTGGAACAGTTTTATGTAGCTGATTTTCATTTCAGTTAGATACTTAGGGGAGAAAGACGGATTTGGAGAACAGAAGACTAGAGGGCAGAAAACCAATTAGGAAGTTGGGGCAATAGTCTCGGTGAGAGGTGATAAAGTTTTAAAAGTAGGCTGTGACAATAGTAGTACAGAGTAAAGGCCTGATTTTAGAAATATCTAAAGAGATAAAATTGGCAGGACTTGGTGATAAACTGTGAGAGAGAAAGAAGGAAGCATCAAGGCAGGCTTGCAGCTTCCTTACAGAGATGACTGGGTGGATGGTGGTACCAGTGTGGACTATCACAGAGTAGGAGCAGATTTATTGAGGAAACAGATGAGTTCAGTTTTAGGTGATAAAGATGAAATATCGTGAAGCTTGAATTCCTACAAAATATTTTTGGTTTTATTAAATCTCAGTGTGCCAGTAGAAGTGTGTTGCTCAAGTCCAAACTCCTTTGTATGGCATACAAAGACACCCCTTATAATTTGGACCTAACCTACCTCTCCCACATCATCTTCTGTTCTCTTTAATATATATACCTTCTGTTTGGACCATCTCAAACTTTTCTCAGAGACCTTCCCTGACTCTGAAATCCAAAATAGGTTCTCTTAAATCATAGCATCTGTACTTTCTGAGGTAAATTGGGAATGGCTTAATGACCAAATGGACTGGGCTGGAGAGATGGACTGCAAAGGAAACGACAACCAGACTCAGGTTTGTAGTCTGGGAGCCTAAGTGGATGACAGAGAGAGTAGTAGGTGGAAAAAAACAGTTGAGAGAGACGATAAAGAAAAATATTTACACATTTTGAGGCTGTGGTCTGTTTGGTCAAAGAGCAAAAGGAACCAAAAAGCTGGAGTCGGATAAAGAAGATAAGGCCTTTCCTTTTCCGCTAGCATAACTTTACTCAGGGATTTCTGCAAATCGATGCCCTGCTCCGGTTCCGTGCGGAGCACAAAATGGAATTATTTACAGGGATTGGGGCGACAGTGCGCTTGAAACCACAGCTTTGGTTCCAGATTGCTTTCTCGAGCTACTGTTACACTGTTGACGTACAGCCACTGATTCACTGACTGACCTTGGGCAAGTTGCTCCTTATTCTCTATGGGTTAATCCTCCTATCTGTAAAAAGAGGATAGCATGCAATTTAGTGTTGTTATGAGGATTAATTTAGATAATACACGTGAAAAGTTACATACGAGGTGCAACAAATATTGTGGGTGGCAGATGAATGACAGGTCAATAGACAACAGATCTCCAAGCAGCAAGGGCAGGAATTTTAGAAAGTTGTATAAGGGATCTGCCCCCCAGGAGACCCGGGGAGCGAGTGCGAAGCCATCCCTTGCAATTCTTGGCCCGTATTTTCTCAGTTGGTTTGGCCGCCCCTTACCTCATGATTCGTGGGGTCCCAGACTGCAGCTTCCGCTCGCTCCGCCACGGGGCGCCCGCCCGCTGGGCCTCTGTGGGCTCAGCTGTGTGTGATGCTGAGGCCGGAACGCGACGTCCGGTATCCTAGGCAACCGCATCACTTCCGGTTTGTGGCTAGGCCGCGGCTGGCGAGAAGCCACATTTCCGCTACGTGAGCCGCGCAGGCGCCGAGCGTAGAGGGGCCGCTGGTCGGCGGCCTGCCACACCAGGTGCCTGCCCAAGTCCGACTTCCCGAGCTTGGGGAGCGGCCGCCTCCGGGGAGGTGGCGCCTGCCAGGACGGCCGGGCCTGGAGGGCGGGGCCGGGGCGCGGCTCCGGAGTCCCGAGGCTGGGCGGAGAAGCCGGGCAGCAGCAGGACCGCTTCTCCCGAGCCGGCAAGCTGGAGCTGGAACTGGAATTCCGTGGGGCCGGGGCCCCGGCTGCCGGGCAGCGGCTCCTCGAGGCCGAGGTCCCGGCGGAGAATGAGCCGGAGGCGGTGGCGGGCTCCCGGCGGAGCAGCGGGTCCGGGAGTATGCTGCGCTGGTTCATCACCGTGATCCTGTGTGCCGCCTTCCTGGGGCTGGTGAGAGCTGCTGTTGCAACCCCACGGGCCGGGGCGTGAGCACGCGGCCTGCAGAGAACGCGGCCTTCCGAGTGTCGCCTCCACCACCTGCAACCTGCGTGACGTTGGGCGTCCTAATCTGCCCGAGACTCAGTTTCGCCATCTGGAAAATGGGCAGTTTTAATCTTGGAGGGTTATTGCCAAGTGCGAAATTTGCTTTCCTGATATATTTTCCAGCTCCAGCCAACCTTCCTCCGTCTCCTCCGTGGGGTGGGGAGACGCAAGAGGGGTTGCCAGGTCTACAGTCCTGTCCCCCGCGCCCACCCAACCCTCGTATTGTTACCCAAAGCTGCTTTTCTGGGATTTCCTCTTCCTCTTCTGACCAATTTCAGCCAACCCCTTTTTTTACAGATGGGGAAATAGACCCAGAGAGGGAAAGTGACTTTTCCTGGCCACACAGCCGTCTAAGTGGTAGAGCCAGGAATCACCAATATATCTCTTGTTCTGCCAACAATCCTATGTAAAACAGACCTTCAGATCCTTCAGTGTTTTTCTTAGAGCTAACGGCAAGGCTAGAAGGACCTTTTGCCAAAACCCTTGGTCGCCCTGCTATTCCCTTGTTTCCGGACCCCCCCAACCCCATCACCTGTCTTGAATATTGGGATTCTGGGGAGTTGGGAGGATGAGTCCTCCGAGGAGAGTCGCTTCTGGTCACTTAAGGTCTTTCTCTGAGCCACAACTGATTCTTAGAGTATTTTAATTTGAAAAAAGAACAATCATTGGCGACGCCTGGTGAGCGCTCTCTGTCTGCCAGGTCCTGTTGTAAGTGCTGTGGAGGCAGGAACTAACTTGAAGAGAGCCGGGCCTCAGCCGTCCCTCCATGTACCGGGCGAGTGCTCTGCGCCTTGTGCCCAGGCCTGCTCTTAGTCCCCGACGGCTCCGGGCTTGGGCCGGGAGCACACCCAAGCCTTTAGAGCAGAGCAGTGCAATTAGAATCAGTTATTCTTGAAATGTAGAGCAATTAGAAGCATATTTTTAAATGTCCAACGAATTTCCTCTGAAAGCCAATTGTGACCCTTAATTCTTGCTAACACTACATTGTTTTTGAGTAAAATTTTATCTATGTATGTTTTTGGTGAGGAAGGTTCACCCTGAGCTAACATCTGTTGCCAATCTTCCTCTTTTGGCTTGAGGAGGATTGTCCCCAAGCTAAGATCTGTGCCAGTTTTCCTCTGTTTTGTGTGTGGGATGCTGCCATAGCTACGCTTGATGAGTGGTTTGTAGGCCAGAGCCTGGGATCCGAACCCGTGAACCCCAGGCCACCAAAGCAGAGCACTTGAACTTAACCACTAGGCAACCCTTCTGGCCCCAAAATTTTATTTTTAAAGTCATTGTATACCTATGTATGTAGTATTCTCTAAGAAAGCTTTACAGACTGTACTTTTCTGATGGCTTGGGGTTTTCTTTGAAGAAAAATGTAGATTTAAAAACGTTTCAATTGTTTATCTCCTGCATATTTTATACTCGTAATTCAGAGGAAGGACCCCATGTGCATCCAGAAATATTGCTGTCTGTTTTGACAACATCAAAGATGGGAATAATATTTTGATGGTTTAAAAAAATAATTTTTAACATTTAAATTCTTATGTTAGTTATTTGTGCATGTAGTATATTTCAAAATGTACAAAGCTATTTCAAAAATTAATGTTACTATTAATACAAAATAGTCTTTTATGGTATTGTTCAAAAAGGAAACAGAATTGCAGCAAAAAGCCAAAAGAACTGAAGAATTTTTTAAAAACTGAGAGTTGTGAAAACTAGAAAAACGGTAGGATTTGGCACACCAGAAATAGGAGTCTATGGCTCTAGTAGTACTAGTGTTGTCATCGAGGATTTTTCCTGACTGTGGGTTTCAAATTAATTTCCTGCATTACATTGAAATCCCCTCTTCCCTTTTTAATAGTGAAAAAAGCTACCACATAGATAGACATTATTTTAATGATTGTAAATAAAATCTGTTGTCTTTTTAAATTTTAGGGAATGAGTGTCGCTATCCTGGGACCCACGTTTCCAGATTTGGCAATAAACGTGAACCGCAACATCAGCAGTCTTTCTCTGATTTTTGTGGGCCGTGCCTTTGGATATTTGAGTGGCTCTGTGATTGGTGGAGTTCTTTTTGACAGTATGAATCATTTTCTACTTTTGGGTAAGTAAACACCAAGTTTAGCTTCTTTCTGACTTTCCAGGAATTTACAATTTGTTTTTAAATATGAAACATACTATCTTGCTGAATGGTTGATGACTTCAATGGACTAGTGTTTAGGCATCCTCAGTGGAAGTCAGGTTTCTCTGGTGCCTGCTTTTACCTTGGCAGTTACAGGGAATCTGTGCTGGGCCACTCTGGGAATTCAGATTAACCCGGGAGTGAGTTAGCCATCCTTAGCCTCCTGACTTCACTGTGATTTAGGCACCACCCCCTGGATCACATACTAGTTGTCCAAAGAGCTGTGCCTCTCAGGGTTTAGGGCAGATCTCCTGGGGCCACCATAGATCAGAATGAACTCCTTGAACCTGCCCAGGCTGAACCCTGGACGGAGAATGAAGGTGGGAGGGAATGGCGGGTGAAATGACATAGGCTAAATTTTTGTCCCTACTGCCCCATGTCAATGATGACCCCAGACCTTTCTACCTCACCCTTGAAATAGATGGCAAAGCTTTTAACTTATTCTTTTTTGAATAAATTGACATGTTTAAAGAAAATCTGGATTAATGTAATAAAACTGCTTTGGAAATAAGGAGAATAATTTCCTATTGTTGATGAATAAATAAATAATCCCTCTGATTTCCAAAGTGGTTGAAAGAGTGTATTTCTTGTATTTCCCTCCCTATTCCCCAAAATAATTTATTTAATACATTTCTACTACAAACTACTATAGTATTTGTAGTTTATTTTTGTGTTTTTTATTTTTTACTTCATATCTAAAAATCTCTTTAAGTTCTTAAATATGAAATATTTAAATACATAATTTTTGAGCTCTTTTGCTCTAAAACTTTGCCTTGTGGTATAATTTATAGTTTGATTATTAGCAGTGCTAGAAATTTATTTATATTAGAATAACTTAGGGCCGGCCACGTGGCTTAGCGGTTAAGTGCACGCGCTCCGCTGCTGGCGGCCCGGGTTCGGATCCCAGGTGGGCACCGACATACCGCTTCTCTGGCCACGATGAGGCCACGTCCCACATACAGCAACTAGAAGGCTGTGCAACTATGACATACAACTATCTACTGGGGCTTTGGGGGAAAAAAAATTAAATAAATAAAAATTAAAAAAAAATAACTAGAATAACTTATATTTTATAGTCCGTAAAGATCATAAAAGGTTTTAAATGAAATAACCATTTGTACAAGCTGAACTTCTCATGTACTCATTATTACTCAATTTTAATTTGACTTATTTTGCACTTTGGGGAGTTTTTATGATGTTGACTTGATCCGTGACTGCGTGAATATTGTTGTTTACTGCTGACTTTTACCTTTCTTCTCAGGGATGTCAATGTTGGCTACAACAGTTGGTCTTTATCTTGTTCCATTTTGTAAGGTGGCGGTATTACTGATTGTCATGATGTCCGTCTTTGGTGTTTCAATGGGCATTCTGGATACAGGTTCGTGAGCCCTTCACTGTCATCTCTGGGAGTAGGGACTTTCTACTAGTAAAAGTAGAACAGATGATATTAAATTGTCACTTGCTGTGTCCCCTAAAATGACACCTACTAAGTTGGTCATGGGGTCACCCCATCAGAACCACCCTGCTGGCATCGACTCTTCTTGCCAAGTAGGGTGCCTGTTTTTGAGCAGCTAACCATGGAGTGAATTTAAAGAATTTTGTTGTATGAGAGGTTGTGGATTTACAGTATCCAACCAGGGAAGGGTCCCCATGTGGGTAGTTACAGTGCAGGTGAGCGTGCTTTCATTTGGGGATAGACCTTTATCATTGCAGTATGGGAAGAATTGATGAGTTAATCAGTTAAAGTAAGTTTGGAACCATGATTTGGCTGAGCAGGCATAGAAGCAGCTACCCAATTGACAATGCACCTTGCCTTTTGAACTAAGAGAAACCTGTGCTGGGTATTATTTTCCTTTTCCTTTTCTTTCAAACGTTCCTGCCATCCTGCCGGAGAACTTCTCCATGTATCTTGATATCTTTTAAAACCTACTAAATAACACACGTGACATTTGTTCACCCCTAAAGCCAGGTTTCTCCCCCTCTTCTCTGCTCCACTGTTATTTGATATGTCAGGGAAATATTTTCTACTTTAGGCTTAGTTTAGTTGTGAAGTTACAGGGTACAATTGTATGTTTATCTGCAAATATGTTTAAAAAAAATGGAAAACTCAAGACTTGGTGCTTCTTGCCTTTCACCTTGTAGAAGGTATCCTTGTTTCCTGTAATGGGCCTCGCAGAATCCTGTAGTGTTCAGGTTCCTGAACATGTGTTTTACATCTGCTATATACATAAATAATTTTCCTCAAGTGGCTACCAATTGCAAGTACAGAAAGCTTTGGAAATTTGGCCACTGTCTGATAATAATAAATATTTAAAATATTTATAAATAAATAAATATATAAATACACCTCCCCCTCCCCCAAGCCTGATATTAGAACTGTATTATAAAAAGCCTTGTGCTAATGTGCCTGGCTCTAGGAGGTAGTGGTTTACTAGCTTGTAGAATTCCATTTGTAAGTATGTGATGTTTCAATGCTTAGAGTTCTCTGGTGGTGGTGAGTTTGAGTTCCTTAATCATAGAATTGACTTGATACATCATGCATGCAAACATGTGACAACTTAGAGTATTATAATCCTGTGCCATGTAAAATAGACTTATCCTTTTTCTAGTTGTAATGAACTGTTTTTTGCTAAGTTACTTTGATTAAATCATTTCCCCATCTTTCACTGGTAGGTGGTAACGTCCTCATCTTGGCTCTTTGGGGGGACGAAGGAGCCCCACATTTGCAGGCCTTACACTTCTGTTTTGCCTTGGGTGCCTTTTTGGCTCCCCTGCTGGCTAAATTGGCATGGGGCACGACAGCGTCTTCTGAAAACCACACAGAGGCTGACTTGAACCATTCTGCTCTCAGCTGGTCATCTGAAGCTGACTCAGAATCCCTACTCGGAGTACCTGACAATATGAATTTACTGTGGGCTTATGCTTTTATTGGTACTTATATTTTTGTAGTTTTTATCTTATTTTTTGCTCTATTTTTAAAGAAAAGCTCAAGGCAGGAAAAAGCAAAAGCATGTGCTCAGAGGTCTCGAAGAGCTAAATATCACAACATCCTGCTTTGTCTCCTTTTTCTGTTCTTCTTTTTTTATGTTGGAGCCGAAGTAACATATGGCTCGTACGTTTTCTCATTTGCAACCACTCATGCTGGCATGAAAGAAAGTGAAGCGGCCGGGCTGAACTCCATCTTCTGGGGGAGCTTTGCATCCTGCAGGGGCCTGGCAATCTTTTTTGCTGCATGTTTACAACCTGGAACCATGATCGTGTTGAGCAACATTGGCACCCTGGCGTCATCTTTATTTCTGGTGCTTTTCAACAAGAACCCAGTTTGCCTCTGGATTGCAACTTCAGTGTATGGAGCCTCGATGGCGACCACGTTTCCCAGTGGTGTTTCTTGGATCGAGCAGTACACGACTATCCATGGAAAAGCTGCAGCATTTTTTGTAATCGGTGGTTCCTTGGGAGAAATGGCCATTCCTGCAGTAATTGGAATTCTTCAAGGACAATACCCTGATTTGCCTGTAGTTTTGTACACCTCTTTGGGGTCAGCAATAACTACTGCTATTTTATTTCCTGTGATGTATGAATTAGCCACCTCACCTCTTCGTCATCAGCAAAAAGAACACAGGAAGAGTGAGGACCACAAAGCTTTGCTCTCGAGCTCTGGGCTACATGACTGTGAGGAAGAGGGTGTAGAGGAAGATGCAGAAAAATGGAATGAAATGGATTTTGAAGTGGTTGAAATGAATGATACAATGAGGAATTCTGTACTAGAGACATCTAGAAATATCTTGATGGAGCCCACAGCTGAAGTCTCCAACCAATACCACTCAAATGCTTTCGTGTTTGAGTCTTCTTCAGTTAATACTGGCAAGTCCGCTGTGAATCACCTTGCAAGACATCAGGACAAAAGAGACTAACACTTAGAGAAGATGGATTATTTACTGACTTGCTTGAATAATTGCCAGTTCTAAAGAGGCCAGTCAGAGCAGAGCCTTAGCAGATTTCCAGCATGTTCTGGGTATCAAAATTTCTAGATCAGAGTATAGCAAATGCTAAAAACGTTTTGAAACATTCTCTGATTCTCAGAATCTTCCATAAAGAACCAATGGTCTCATACAGTAGAATCTTGTTGTAAGGCTAGTGTTTGGCATGTGGCTGATTTGGTAGTATTTTACGGTCATCACCCTTCAGAGCATGCAAAGAAGGCATTTGTTTTTGAGAAGTTGGGTGCTGTTCTAGTAAAACAAAACCATCCAGTAATTGAATCAATTAGTTGAACAAATTATCAGTCGTCAGTAGTCTACCAGGGAAGTCGAGGGGAGGAGTTTGATGAAAGAACCTCTTTGAAAATGGACAGATTTTCATTAATTGCTTTACCCTGTCTGTAGCGTTGGACCAAAGAATGCTAATGACTCATTTGATTCCTGATTTCTATGAAGACAGCATAGAACAGGGCTCCCATAGACTTGGCTTTAAGCCTTGACTGCTGCTTTCCAGGCTTCTGGACCTGCACTCAGCCACTTAACTTACATTGGCTTTGTTGCTCTCATCTCCTGATCTGGGATTCTGTAAGTGAAAAGAAGATGATTTTCAAACTAGGGATCCATAAGTTTTAAAGTTTATGCAGGATGTCTGCTAGAAATTAATATAAATGCCACCCCATTCTTCATTTCAAATGAGAAGGGAAACAAAATGATAGCTTTAAGAATGTGCTACTGATTATGAATTCATGTCAATTTAAGACACTCTGTTTAATATTTTATTTGAATAATTATTTGAAGAATACATTCTTTAGTACTGTATTTCATTGATTCTAAGATGCACCTTTTTTCACATTTTTAACATCTCTGAAATCAGAATATGTCTTAAAATCAATGATTATTTAACATTGTGACAAGATTTAATTGACAGTTTTTTTCCATATATATAGCGAGAGTAACGTTGCGTTTTACAATCAATGTCTTAGATTCAGTGAAATACAGTAATTCATTCAATTATGGAGATTATACTATTTTTACAGACATTTTAAAAAGAAAAGTTATTTTTGTATGCTAATTTTCTCTATGTTCAGATGGGATTTGGAGATGCTATGTTCTGATTTGAAAAGCTGTTTCAGAGTTACTGTGTTAGTAGTCGTGCTGTGGATAGGGACTCTTGATGTCCTTTGCCTACCAGAGTCTGGGTCTGAGCCTTGCCTTTCCAGGATTTGCTATTCATTAAGTTTGGTTGGTATTCCCATCATAAGCACTGTAAACCAGGCTGCTAGTTTAATTTACAGTGAGGCACAGTCTTTTCCAGTGGTTGAAATACTTGTATCACCATCCAGGGCTCCTCCTTCCTGAGTTTGAAATACCTGGGAAACCAAAGTAATGATTAGAAAGTGGCTTGGTGGCCTAGGAGTCAAGGGTCACGAAGGGTACTTCATGTGAGTGTGGCACAGCTGGTGTGGGTGTCCTTTGATAAATGACTAGCACCAATGACAGATTTTGTTCACTTCTCTTTACCAAGTTTTATGCTGAATAACATCTAATTTCTATCTGAGTATAGTATGTCTACTTTCTCTTATTTAATTTCTATAAATTTGCCTTTGTTTTTCTTAAGTGAAATACAGTACCTTTCTTTTTTTTTTTTTTAATAATTTTATTTATTTATTTTTTCCCCCAAAGCCCCAGTACATAGTTGTATGTCATAGCTGCACATCCTTCTAGTTGCTGTATGTGGGACGCGGCCTCAGCATGGCCGGAGAAGTGGTGTGTTGGTGCACGCCCGGGATCCGAACCCGGGCCGCCAGCAGCAGAGTGCGCGCACTTAACCGCTAAGCCACGAGGCCGGCCCTACAGTACCTTTCTTGACCACTGCTCATTCACCTTATATCCCTGCCACAGTATTGGTTCATATTAATAATCTAAATTTTGGAGAGGGCTGGTGGAGAAATCAACAGAAAGAAGCCTATTCTTCTTGTTCTTGTTATACTATACTTTTCTTGTAGCTGGGGCTTGGAGATGACCTCTGCTCCATTTACTGCTTTTTCTCAGGTGGTTGGAATTTAGGCAGTAGCAGCTGTTTGGCAGCTGGGAGATGCTAGAACAGGAATTCTACCTGCAGCATCTACAGAAAAGGGGTAGGAGATGCAGCTCAGGGAGAGAAGGATGGTAATAAGAACATGGCAGAAAATTTGGTAATCCACACTGGAAAAAATACTAGAGTTCCACAAACCAACATGTGAATGGCCATGTGAGATTATAGGCATTGTTCAAGTTTGATAATGTATTTCCATATTGGAAGGATAAGACTTAGTACAGTTCCAGGAATTAGCATTCATCCTAATAATCACTTCTTAGGTAAGTGTCTGTTGATAAGCAAGTGTCCAATACCAAAGTTTTCTGTTGCTGGGTAACAAATTACCAAAATTTAGCAGCTTGAAACAACAGACATTTTTATCTCACAGTTTCCTTGGGTCAGGAATTTGGGCATGACGTCATCGGATCCTCTGTGCAGGATCTCACCGGGCTGCAATCGAGCTGTTGGTTAGAGCTGTGCTTCTTTCTGGAGCGTGGGGTCCTCTTCCAGGGCCGTGTAGCTGTTGACAGTGTTCAGTTCCTGGCTGTGGTAGACTGAGGTCCCTGCTTTTTACTGGCTGTCAGCTGGCACCGGTCTCAATTCCTAGAACCTCCCACAGTTCCTTGCCATGTGGCCCTCTCCTAGATCCTCTCACAACATGGCAGCTTATTTCTTCAAAGCCAGCAGGAGACTCTCTCGCCCCAGTCTGCTAAGCTGGAGTTTATGTAACATGAGTGATCACAGGAGTGACGTCCCATCACCTTAGCCATAGTATTCTTTTGGTTGGAAGCAAGTCACAGGTTCTGCCCAAACTCAAAGGGAGAGGCTGGTGCAGAGATGTGACTCATTGGGGGTTCACCTTTTGGTCTGTGTCTTATAGTCAGATACCTGCAAAATCAAGGTTCCAGAGAGAGAAAAAGTTTGAACTGAGGGAAAAAACCTTCAGCAGTCACTGAAAGTGATTAGAGGCCCAGCCCATCGATTGTCCTAGTGCAGGGGTGGAAGGCTCCCCGTAGGCCAGGCCAACTAACCTGATAGGGAAGAATCGTTTTTTGTTTGTGGGGCACTGGAAGGGTTAACTCAGAATTATGCTTTTTTTCCTTGACATTTTATGTCCTTTACGACGGTGCTTTTAACCTGTTCAAATGCAGCTTGACATGAGGGAAATAGGTAAATTTCAGTTTAATTGTATTTTCGTAGTCAAGTCCAAGACCGCTTTGAGAGCATTTTTCAATTACTCTGTTATTTTTTTAATGAAAAACATTTTTAAAAAATAAGTTTTTATTATAAAGGTATAAACAAGGTCATGGCAGAAGATTAGGGAAGTACATAAAACTATAAGGGATAAATATAATTAATCTATAGCCGTCTCTGGTGGTCTAGTGGTTAAGATTCAGTGCTCTCACCAAGCGGCCTGGGTTCATTCCCCGGTCAGGGAACCACCACCTGTCTGTCAGTTGTCAGACTGTGGCAGCTGCGTGTTGCTATGATGCTGAAAGCTGTGTCACTGCTATTTCAAATACTGCCAAGGTCACCCATGGTGGACAGGTTTCAGTGGAGCTTCCAGACTAAGACAGACTAGGAAAAAGGACCTGGCCACCCACTTCCAAAAAAATTGACCTTGAAAACCCTATGAATAGCAGTGGAGCATTGTCTGATATAACGCTGGAAGGTGAGAGGGTGGCACAGAAAGACTGAGCAGGGTTCCGCTCTGCTGTACGGAGAGTCGCTAGGAGTCAGCATCAACTCGAAGGCACCTAACATAAGTAATCCGTATTCCTAAACACCTACAAAAGTTCTTGCATTTCTCATCAACTTAATTTCCTAAGTAAATGGTAAGGGGTAAAAAAAATTTCTTCCTACCAGATAAGGTATCAGAAACATCTTGAATTTTGTGTCCAGAGTACAACTACAGTTGGTGGACTGGTTATTAGTTTGAAGAATTGTAGTTTATTTAAAAAAAAACATAATTGGGAGATGACCAGTATAGCAACACTTCCAGATTACAGGTAAAATGGTTTTGTTTCAGGGAGATTCCTTGAATAATCAGGATAGCTTTCTCATAACCAGAACTTTTGTTTTACCTTAGCGATGTATCATCCTGCCACTTAAAAGTTGTTGCTAAAATAGAGCTTAAAATTCTTAATGGAAGTAGATATATTGTGGGATGCCCCGTATCTGTGTTGAGTGGCACTTGTTTTGTTCCTAGTGTTGTGAGTGTGTGTGTTTGCATATATGAACCCGCAGATGTTATATGTGTTTGATATTTTCCTGTACTCTGGGAGTGCAGCAGGGGTAGAGGTGGTAGGGAAGGGATAAAAAAAAAATTAAGGTATGATTCACAGTTTGGCAGAAATGTTCTCTTTTTTTAATCGAAATTTTTGTTGAGATTATTGTAGATTGACAGGCAGTTGTACATAGTATTTTTTTTCATATTTGCTGGGTGAAGGACACTTGCTCAATCTGGAAGGGTAGAGAACTAGACTAGTGCTTCTCGTACTTTAATGTGCATTAGAATTGCTTGTTAAAATACAGATTCTAATTCAGTAGGACTCGGGTAGGGGCTGAGTTCTACATTTCTAACAGGCTCCTAGGTGATGGGGTGCTGCTGGCCCGTGGACTGACCACACTTTGGGGAGCAAGGTCTACTTTTGGGGAGTGTCGAACTCTCTGCTGCTTTTGACAGTTTGTTTGTTTTAGCTTTTCTAAATCTGACCCTAAATCTTTGGGAGTCTACTGTCCCTGTGTTCTCCCTCCTCTCACACACATGCTCCAGGACTCTGTTCTAAGACTGAGTTCTCTTCAGTCCTCTCCATTTATCACATTGGCTTTGAATATTTATTTGACATGTTTGCCGAATGCCTCCTTTTTGACAGTCTCTGTGGGAGGTGCTAAGTGTACACTGGGGAAAAGATCAGAAAGTTCCTGCCTTCATGGAACTTAGCCTCTAATGCAGTGCTGTCTGATAGAACTTTCCATGGTGATGGAAATGTTCTCTGTCTGCACTGCCCAGTAGCCACTGGCCACATTTGGTGAATTGAGCCCTTGAAATATGGTTAGTGTGACGTAGAAAATGAGTTTTTAATTTAATTTAAGTATCTACCTTGGCTAGTGCATGCTGTGTTGGATAGCACATGTCTATTGGGAGAAACAAGGTATCAAGGAATCATGGGAGATGTTTCCAGGAAGGCTTTATTTCCTGTTGTACCAGAAATTAACAAGTATCTGGTGTCAGAAAGGTGGTGGTAGATACCTTGTCAAATGGTGTAATGTAAATTATCACGGCACTTAAGAAAGGCCTGGTTTTAATGGGTCATGATGGTAGACAGTGCTGCTCAGTGATCTAAAAGAGAAAGTTTTGGCCTTCCTTGTGTGTAAAGGAACAAAACCGAGGCTAGAAACCTTGGTTGACAGAAGGAGGATTTAAGCTCTTTCTTTTAACGGACTTATGCTAGTTGGCATTTGAGCTAGGTTGAACTTGAATTGGATTTTTATTTAGGTATAAACAGTTTCATATTTAATGATTTAAAATTATATAAGACTGAATTCTTATAGTCAAAGAAAATTGTTCTTTCTTTTCCAACATGTTTCTGGGGTTGTTTTTTTGTGTGTGTGTGAGGAAGATCAGCCCTGAGCTAACATCCGTGCTAATCCTCCTCTTTTTGCTGAGGAAGACCTGCTCTCAGCTAACATCTATTGCCAATCCTCCTCCTATTTTTTTCCCCCCAAAGCCCCAGTAGATAGTTGTATGTCATAGTTGCACATCCTTCTAGTTGCTGTATGTGGGACGCGGCCTCAGCATGGCCACAGAAGCGGTGCGTCGGTGCACGCCTGGGATCCGAACCCGGGCCGCCAGTAGCAGAGTGCGCGCACTTAACTGCTAAGCCATGGGGCTGGCCCTCTGGGGTTATCTTAATTATGTCTTCTCTTGTCTTCTATTTCTGCCCT